GCTTCATTTCCGGAAGGAAAAAATTATGCGATATGAATCCACATATCTGCGCGGCTTTGGCAGAGATTCTATCTGCATGAGGTAATAAAGCAAGTTTATTTGTATAACTTAGACGTAGGTCCTTTATGGTGAGGCATTCTGAGAGTGGGTTATTCTGAAAAATTATAGGACAGGAAGTTTGGTAGGACCAAAAGACATGAAACTACACTTGGATGATGAAAACTCCATCTGCCATGTCGAACCCCATCTGCTTAAGCAGTGAGGAGAATAGACCCATTTTCTCTGGTAACAGAACACTGTGCAGGCTCTGGGCACACGTTCGGCTTCCAGAGCGCCAGAACTCTGGATCGAGGAAATGACCATATAGTCAGGTAAACAAGTGAGGCCTGGCACGCGGCGACTACTTCAAAAAACCGTTTTGTCGCCCTGCCGGCAGCTTACCAAGCCCTCCAGACGCAGCTCAACAGACGAAAAAGAAGGTGCAACGTTAGGCCAAGAGTGAATCCGAACGCGGGAGAATCTACAACGGACACGCACGCAGTCACATCACAATTCGGGCATGACGAAGTCTCAGTCATTAATACTGTCACCTCAACCACTACTCCTGCAGACGGGGAGAACTGCGGCCCGAGGGACGCAAACAATACTGGCGATCTAGGGCAGCAACTAAGGTCAACGCGAATGCGGGTGTTGGCCACTAACATTCAAACTCCGACCCCGACGAGAGACAGGCAGATTGATAGCAGTCGCCTAAGTTACTGGTATTCAAGTCGAAATTACGCAACCATCTTACACCGGAAAGCATAAAGGCTTTGTTAACGGTCTCATTCCCGAACACTCAGATTCTTGACTTCGAGAAGGGTCCTCCTGGGATTTAGTGGTAGATTAAGTGGTGACTCTTAATTATATCATTAGAGACCCCTGTTTTTGATTGGTTTCTAAATCCACTGCTATCACCCCCCCCCCATAGCGACAATTTTCGCGGTTTTTGATGTCATCTCCCGCATTCCGACCTCATGCGGTCTGTCGATGCTCACGGCGGAACCCTCAGTATTCGCCGTCTACTAGTGGTTTGGTCGTACCTCCCTTCCCCACTGCTCGGCTGAGCTCGAAGCGTGTAGTGGCCGATCGCATCTGGGTTCCTCTCGTCTGGCGAATAGTCTCATGCGGCGTATCAATGCGGCCCAGACGATGTCAACTGTGAATCCCGTAAACAATGCCACAAGCAAGCCAGTCCTGTCTGACCCGCATACGTACCCCTCAAGGTTGAGATTTATTGCTACCCTGACGATGACCGACAACATTTCGTTATATACCGCCACCTACAGGCCAGTCCTGCTCGCTTTTTTCTGCCATTAATTTTATTGAGGGGTTTTTTTCTCCTGTAAATTTAATCCATTCATTTTTAACTTCTTGTTAGGAGTTTTTTTTTCACCCCTTATTAATCATGTTTCTCAATGGACTACTAATTCAGAAACTATGAATTGCATTTTGTAAAGATTCTGCTTACCTCGTCTAAAACTCGCATGTAAATTTATTTTAACTTGCTTTGATGGGACTCCGACGGGTCTTTAGTAAAAAATATCTATCTGTGTCTTCGTTGACACGGGTCTGTGATCGTTTTCTGATCTCTCCGACCTAATTAAATTTGCGTGAATTAATCTTGACCCCGCAGATTACCTTTGTCTCGCATTTTGTGGCAGGGGCCTTTAGTCTCATGACTATGTGTAGAATGGTTTAGTCCGGTCGATAGGCGACACCGATCCCCAGGGATCTTAGGAGGCAGGAAACTGTCTCAGAGGTTCGGTCTGTGTATGGGAGTGCATGCCATGCTATTGGCCGTTCTGTCACAGGATATTCGTTTTGCTAAAATTGCCTGATGAGCTTGGTGAAGTAACGGGGTATTCGTTGATCATAAAAAGACTATGAAAATAGCGGAGTTCAGTCCTTCTGTCGTCTGGGTCGCAGCAGTATGTTTCTTCCCTTCTACAGAGAGCTCGCACGCAACTACGTTTCTGATATAACGTATGCTCATGGTGATAACCCGGGATTTGATAGCCCTTCCCTAACACGTGTTCAGAGAGTTACATTCTGGAAAAGTAGTTTTTCTGCTGCCAATTCAAGCAAATTTTGTCCGAATGTGTTTGATGGACCCGAAACTGTCCAAGCTTGCCAGTCGATAATGGGGGCGTTAAAGTCCCCGACAATAAGGACGTCTCTGTTCAAGCAGGTCTTGTTCAGTCCCCTTAGGAGAAGGCCATCGTTTTCAGAAATCTGGTTTGGGGGACGATACACAACTGCAAACGCCAGCGGCCTGGCGTATTCAGTGGAGATAGTTAAAGGTAAGAATTCCACTTCCGCTGTTGTTGTTGGATTATGCTCAGGGACCGCGGTTAGGTTGTAGTTAACATAGACAGCGACCCCTCCTCCTCGGCTTCTCCTGCCTCTTCTGAACAGTTGGTAGCCTCTGAGGGATACCTCGTGGTCTCCAACAGCGTCAGAAAGCCATGTTTCTGTCAAGGCGATGATATCTGGCGTGTGCTCGTCGATCAGAGTCCTGAGTTCATCCATCTTGTTAAACAGGCTCTGCACATTCGAATACAGCACCTTTAGTGTCCGTCTTCTCGGGGGAACTGGCCCTGATTACAAAGGGGTTAGCCACAGGAACGATCGTTTGATCTGTATTATCTTGCCTTCCTTTATTTTCAACCCCTTCTCCCCCTCTTCTGTCCTTCATTTCAGTTCTGTCCAGAGCTGCCTCATCTTGTGTCTTTCTGTCGGTTCGTAATCCGGCTAAAAAACACTTCCTTATGCAAATGACGAAGGGCCATCATCCCTTCTAAGAGATGCGAGGCCTGGGCTTCATTTGCAAAAATAATTTTAAGAGGCCTTGGTAATGCACGCGACGCATCTGTGTTTCCTAGACGTAAAGCTTTGTGCACGGTAACACATTCTCCGTCCTGAAGGACGGCATTTGAATATGTTTGAAAGAGGTTGAGATCGTGTTCGATTCTTTCTTTTGCAGTCGGAGAATTGGACTCAGGAGCTCCCTTTATGACGATGTTTCGTTTTCGGTAGAGATGCCTGTTTGGAAGAGAACTCCTACGTTTATTTTTACACGCACGTTCAGAATTTCGCCAATTTCCGTTGTCATCGTTTGATTCAGAGGCAGCTGTGATGGCGTAACTACCACAGGGTTCCTCACCAACCGAGTCGTGCGATACGTCCTTCGGCAGTGTGGTATTTGCTGGCATTGTGTGTGTTGTTGTTGTTTACCCTGTTTTGCCACTGTTCCCATTCAAGTCTTTAGCCCTCGTCCTCTGAAGACACTGCACCTGCGCTGAGTCTTTAGTTTGAGTCAATGGAGATTATATTGCAGAAATGACCGCAAAGTTTTTGGTAAACTAATGAAGCTATTGCAGTAGTTGATATCGTGGCATTCTAGCTGCTGTTTAGGATACTGTGCCTGTGACACTTTAAACCCTTTCTATGACACAGTTAAGTTCCGGAAAGCGTTGGGTTACTCATAAAATCGTGAATTTATACGTAAGCATAGCATTTTAGTCCCAACATTTCAGCCCACCCCCGGACTTTCCTCTCTCTGTTATATTGTCAGGAAGTCCGGCTATTAACTTGTTTACTAAGTTTGCAGACTGCCGTATAGAGATGTCATGTTAAACAGAAGCCTACGGCCTTAGAATCCCGCACGAGAACGAAAAACCAGACCGCCAGTGGTATCTTGGAGCAGTTCCGAACGAATATCCAGATGACTGAATAAACCTTGTAATTTTATGATCTCGAATTCGTTTGCCGCGAATTTGAACCCGGTACGTTTTGTCAGCTGTAGCGTGTGTTGCAGGTCGGCGCCCTTCGTCGGTTTTTCGGATAGGCAAATGTCACGAGACGCAAACAATGCAGGTTCTGATACGCAAAAGGTAATACAACGTTGAAATAGCTGTGAAACATATTATGACAGTTATTGTCTTTATTCTAAGCCTTCTTGTACTCGATCTTTGCGAACATTATCCATCCGTCAGGTTCGTAATTTGGTTGACGACTACTTTATTTCTTTGTAGGTGAACGACCTATGCGAAAAAATGGCGAAAGCCAAGATAAGTAAAACTGCACAACATCAAATTGTCCTGAAGCCACCCAAAGGAACGAGGGACCGCAACCCCGTCCAAATGCGCGTTCTAGAGAAGGTTTTCGGTGTAATTCAAGATTGCTTCAAGCGCCACGATGCAGTTTCAATTGAAACGCCCGTGTTTGAACTGAAAGAGGTCCTCACTGGGAAATATGGCGAGGAGTCAAAACTTATATATAATCTAGAAGACCAAGGCGGCGAACTCCTTTCACTTCGCTACGATTTAACGGCAGGTCTACCGAGCTTTACAAGCCTATGGCTTGTAACCTCTAGTTCATGTGTGCTTTGTTCTCTGTGTTTTGGATGGCCGAACTCCACTGTCATCAGCTCGGAGTGTGTCGTTCCAACTCATCTTCCCGTTTATCTGACGGTCTGACTCCCCAGAAAGCCCAACTCTCCGTTACCGAGCGTTTTGCTTGCTCTAACTGGCCTACACAATGAGAACCAAGCTATTTCTAGACGCATCACTATTGTGGATCTTAGAGCGAAGTAGAAGCGCAGTCCAGGCTTCGAGAACAAGTAGACATTATTCTGAATGACCGCTTGGGGTGATGACTCGATGTTGGTATCGAAGGGATGGCATCCTTTGAGCCGTTAGTGCGACAGCCTTAGTTGTTTCTGAATGTCCATGTAGAAAACAGTTCCTATTGGATCTAAAATAGGTCGTCATGACTCCTGCCCAGGAAATTCATAGAAGAGAATGTATTCCATTTTCTGAATTTTCTCACTGTCATACGCTACGAACCACAGAAAGGTACGCGACGTTTTACGCTACAGGGCATGCCCCATCCTCTTGGATGCTGTGAGACGCCGACCGTACTGTCTGCTTGGCCTCCTTAACCACAGGACAATTTTGGGAGGAAATATTGTCGAAACCATCATGCTGCTCAAAATTCACTTTCCATCGAATTACAGAACTTGAAATGTATGCCTGCCAATAGGCGGAAGATTACTGCGGCATAGACCGGACGCTAATTACAAAGAACCTAGGTGTATATTCTAGAGTGTGGGCTGTAGTGACTCAGTGTCGTGGATACTGGACTAAAACTGGAAATAGGCGGCAAAGATGTGGAGTAGGGTAGCTTTTGATTTGTCACGAGGGTTACTCAGGGGCACACAGGTTAGTTTCTGTAACGTCCTCTATTTTACTGCTAAGCTACTTTTTGTAACTACCGAGTTGATGCCCTTCCAATTATTGTTTCACTGACCAGCCCGTCTTCCTAATGCAGGTTCCATTTGCTCGTTATGTCGCGATGAACAGAATAAAGTCGATAAAACGATTCCAAATCGGTAAAGTCTACCGTCGTGATCAGCCTGCTATGAATCGCGGTCGGTTCCGGGAATTTTATCAGTGCGTAAGTCGCGCTCTTGCCTTCTTACCAGAAATACTACTATGTCAAAGAACTTGCATATCTTCCGAGTTGTTGCCCTATTCTACGAAATTCCCCGCCTATCATTTACACAGTTCCCATAGCATTGTGTTAGATGTACGTAAAGCTCAGTTTTTCAAAAGCAGTATTAAAAGGTCGCGCTACTTCGGTCGGCATCATTGACAAATTCAAACTTGCAGGCGCATAGTTTTTTTTAATGATCCATAAAAGGCGTAGTTTAAGGTGCAGCTGCACACCGGAAAACCCGGTTTCTGCGTCCCGGAATCAGGCTTCGTCCGGTTGTATCGTTTTATAAGCCCTTTTAATAGATTTGCGTGTCTTCGTCGACCTTCTTCACCCTAAACGGAGTCCCTGCCTCTCTAGAATTCGCGGTTACTTTATATACCGTGACTCTGTCAGAGGAAGTGAATACGATGTCATTAGCCTCAATATCGTGTTCTTCCGCCCACTCATTTCGTTTAATTTTAGTTCATTATCATGCTTTTTATCCTCTTCGGGTTCTTTTCTCCGTATTGGTATTTGACGCGGCTAAACAACACTGTTGGTCGCGCAAAGCCTCGGGAGATTGAAGCGTTAACTCTCAACCATAAGTTAGCGTGAGAGACTTCTATGGGGCTAAGGTATATATGCGACCTACACACATTTTTGTGAGTGTGATTTTAAGATATTTATTATAAGCTGCAGAAACTCGCCCCCTTAGAGCGTACTCTCCGTGCTAACCATCCTCCATAGAATTCTCAACTACCACATTCTCCGGTCCACTACCTACCTAGATTTTTCACACAGCGGTAGAAGTTGGGGGGAACTCGGGTCCCACGGAGTGGAAGTGCAGCAGAAGCCACATTTAGAAGGAACTATCGCAGCATGACTCAGTCTACCTGTCGGCTGTTCCACACAAACACATACCAACCGAGCTATCCCGTCAGTTGGCGACCTTCTAGGTCACGGCCTTCAGCGCACCGTGATAGCTTCAAGCGCGTCAGAAATATGTGCTGAGACCGCCGACCTCGCTTTTCACACTACTGAACACCAGTCCACTGTTCGAGCCGGTCAGATGTCTGATGCCGGGAGTGGGCGCAGTGGCTGACAACTAGAGAGCTCGTTTATGCGTGCCGCACACACGACCTGGCCCCCATACGCGCATACGAGCGTGTAGACCGTTCGGATTTCGCACGGAGAAAGAAGCCCAAAAGCACACTTCCCACCTACTTGAAAGGCGCCGGTGATGAGGAGTTTTAGAGCTGTTTATGCGTAGTTGATCATGTCAACGGTAATTTACCGCAGGTTTTCATGTGTGACCGAATAGGCCCGTCCGATGGCTGAACGTGCGCGGGACAGTGTGGGCAATTAGGGCGATGGAGTCTGGTGTATGTCGATGCTCCTGGTACTAGTTCGTCAACCTCTTTGCGATGGATTCGCAAGCGACCAGCCAGGCCGGTGCGTAGGGGGGAATGCGCGATCTCAATAGAGACAGGTTAAGACCGAGTCTACATCACTGGAGATAGAGGTGGTGGTGGTGGCGGCGGCGGCGGCGGCGGCGGCGGCGGCGGTGGTGGTGGTGGTGGTGGTTGACAAGTCGTCGAGAGGGTTTAGTTCGGTGGTAGGAACAGGAGCTGTGGTGGTCGCCGTTGTCGCCACGGAGGTTGTGGCAAGTGCGATGAAGATAGCAGTGACCGACGGCGGCGGGATATGAGGATGTTGAGCATCGGTTCTGAGCGCGGTCGTCGTAATGGCCACCTTGAGGGTTTGGGCAGGGGCGGTAGGAGAGACAGCGATTGAAGTTGTCTGACTGGTGCACTGAGTCCGCAGATGTCCGACAAGGCCGGTCCACCTGCAGAATGTTCGTCGACAGCGTGGACATGTTGGGAGGGGTCGAGGGTGAGCGTTGTAGGCCAGGGACGCCTGAGACTTGTGAACCTCCCTTTTAGCTTTGGCAGCGGCGATCCGGTTGGCTTCACAGATAGTTGCCCCAGTCTTCTGATCGGTCAGTCCAGTGTGAGCTCCTCCCGGGTATTCGGGTTGATCTTTAGCCGCCTGAAGAAATTTTTAGGGTGTCCTTGTAGCAACGGGTTTGACTTCCTGTTGGCGAGCACTTGTGACGACATTTTCATAGAAGAGTTGTTTTGGTAGGCGTTCATCCATCCTCACGAGATGCCCCCATCATCATAGTTGCAGTTGCCTCAGCATGGCGCGGATGCCGAGAATTTCAGTCCCTTCGAGAACTTCCTGTGTCCGGGATCCTGTCCTCCCACATCTGCAGCTGGCCGAAGACTTCGCCGGCTTTGGAGACCCGCAGAGCCGCTTCGTCGTCAACTTTGATGCAGCCTGAGCGTTCCGCCCAAGTAATTAAAGTTGTTCACGGTTTTCAGTTGGATACCTTTGACATGAATGCGAGGAGCGCTGTATGCAGCATTGGGTAAAGAGTAATGCATGACCACAGCTATGTGCGCGTTGATTTTCAGTCTGAAGTTGGCGCAGCCGGAGGCGAAGAGTTCCATTGTCCGTTGCATGTGAGCTTCTGTCTCGGTTTTGAGTGCTAATCGTCCACAAAAAACAGGCCGTGGTGAGACGCGTTTAAGCTTGCGTGCGCCGACTGTTGAGATGGCCGTCGGTCTTTTAGGCGATGCGGATCCCCGGGCGCTCATCACGGTAGGCGTCTATCAGCATGGCAGAGAGCATGAGTCTAAGGGGTGTTGGGGGGAGGGGGGTGCACAGCCCTGGTTACTGCAAATGCTTCGGAGACGGTCCCATTGTCCGTGACGTGCGTCATTATCCCCTCGTGGAGCCGACGCACCATGCCCGTGAATCGTTCAGGACAGCCGAATTTCTGCATGGTTTTCCACAGTCCATCGACATTCACCGTGTCGAGGACTTTCGTCGAGTCCACGTCGATGGTGTAGAAATGAGTGCATTCCCTCACACTTCTTTTAGCCGGCTGGTGACGAAAATCAGGCCGGTGGCTCCGCAGTGGCGTGGGAATCCACGCTGACATCCTGGCAGAAATCCCTGTTCTAAATGGCCGTTGAGACTGCTGAAGGGGATGCAAGTGAAGACCTTCTCGGCAGTTTTGGGCAGTGAGATTCCTCTGTGGTTGTCACGGAGTTCCTGGCCTCCTTTCCATTTGTAGAGGCAGACGGTTGTCGCCTGTTGCTTGTATGATGATTAGAAATGCCTTTGCATTGAGGGAATTTGTCCCTCGAACTTAAGCCTCGTGTGCGTTGCTCATGTTCAACGATAAGTCCATTGTGGCCATTTTACTGCGTCCTCGTAGTTTTAGCTACCTAAAGACAGCTATCACAAACGCAGTGCCGGTAAACAACGTTGCACTGGTTGATTTTTTCCGTCTCAAGCAATATCTGTTAATTTTATTTGCACTCATAGGCGAGACCGGGACATCTCATGGGCATGCAGATGCGTTTGTCTCATTGTCTTGCTCTCATGAAATAAGATGACTTCAGGATGTTACGGATGCTTCAATGCCTGCTAGTGCGGGTATTCTTGTACACCAAACGATACACCCACTTAAAAGTGTACTGTCTCACGCTGTGTTTTAAAGTTAAACGAATCTCGATGATTCGAGCGTGTTGTGGTCTTGATTTCTTGTCTTTCTTGTCTACTTTTTCATGTGTTGATTGATTTTCGAGTTCACTCCGGCATTCTAACGCAGGTGGTCCACTTTTCATTTTACTGTAAATAATGGCGGATTCGCAACTACCTTGTCGACTTCTCTTGCTTTTTTTCAAAAGAGCCCCCTTTCATGGTCGATGCTATGGTAGTGGCTGCGCAAAACTCGACGGTTTGACTTTAGCGCCTTTGTGGGTTTCGCCATATTTCTGGAGAACACTAGTCATACAGTCTTTTCTATTATCATTTTTGGAAATTTGCTTATTCAGCTGACCCACACACTGGAGGATTGTTCAGTGCCTTTACGAGCTTAATCAGCTAAGACATCTGTAGTACGCGTCTTATCTATAGAAAATGGAAACGTTTTCTCTCCGATGGATTTTAAAAGACCAAATAATTAGTGTTTTGTACTCGGCCTGTTGACCTTTAGTGTTATCGTCTTCGACTTTACTTGCTTACACTGTACGAGCTTCAACTTTCGACGCTGCCTTTCAGGCAAGAAACTAAAATTCCCATCATATCTGAAATTGGGAAATGTAAACTTCATGAAGTCCTACGACCAAAACTTGGGACTGTGACCGATGGTGCCTGCGCCACATGTACCCCCCTTCACCCTCATGCGCAAGTCAACCGCAGTTGGCGAGGACCCACTCCGCTGTCAAAACAGGGATAGGGACGACACCCTTGTCAGTCTGATTTTCTGCGCCCACACGGGCTCTACGGAGGCTGAACTTCCTTGGTATATGACAAATCCACTTCTGTCATGAGGAAAGCTCGGTGGATTAGGAGCCAGATGTATCTTCTGGAGCGGTCTTTGAGTAGATAAACGTCATGACGCAGGAATAGTCTTCACTATAATCGAGAGTTTCGTGATTAATTGTTAACCTTTAGAGATGTATACAACGACCGATTAGCCACGCGGAAAAAACTATTTGGTGGACACATTTTGTTCTACTTTCTAGCGTTCGCGTCTCTACGAGGATAAGTTGCGACAACGTGCACAGCAAGTGCTTGGAGAGCTTTACTTCCTCATCTTGTCTATGTTGGTGGCAGACAAACTCAAAATGCCTGCTCCTACTGTGCATGAACCATGCCCCCCTTGTTCATTTACCCGTCGTCTTGATGTCTGTAAACACAGAAATGGACATCCTTCGCCGAAGGTGCAGCTGCCTCATTGTGAACACCATCCTTCGCGTTTTGAGTTACAAATTTTGCTACGAAGGCGTCAAGGTGAAATAGGGCCCTGAGGAGGTTGGGCTTTGCCCTCCTCAAGAAGACATCGATTTCCCTCAACCTGAGAACAAGCCGGAAAAACTGCACCGCGTGGAGAATGGAAAAATTAAGATTTTGACCACTGTACCGCGGTGGATTCGCTCGAAAAAATCGCGTTGCAACAAAAACGAATAGGGACCTCGGCATCTGCCTTCATAGACAAGACCAACTGCAGCCAGTATCCAGGAACAGCGGAGTTCCTGCAAGTATGGCTGATTTCATTGTGTGCTCACACCGACGACAGCATAATATGTTTCAGATACTAAACACCCGGTTGAGCAATTGGACTGAGACAACCCAGAGATCCATTAACTCCTTTAAAAGGAGTAATTTCTTTGCTCTCAGCCCGGTTTGCGGTTCACAAGCAGCCAGAACTGATTCTCAGCTCCGCTTATCAGTTATAAGCACTCACTAGGTTTGCCGAACACCTTCAAAGCCCACTTAACCGTCCATTTAGCATTTTCTTGCAGTTCGTCGACATACGTTCGTAAATAGAGGTCAACACTGACCTGGAACTCCCATAACCTCTTCAGAAGACGATCTGAGAAGCCCGGTAGCTTAAGCGGAAAAGGTTCATCAGCCAAGCAAATTTCTGCCGAGGTTTTCAAATTCGATATTTCGGAACTGCCACAGTAGCTGTCATCTCTTCCAGGTCTGGTTCCAGAGAAAATCGCATGCAATTGGAAGGTTAACCGACTTTCGGCCATGGTAGATGATGGATTATATTTTCATCATTGTGGGCTGATGTAGTTTTATTCGCCCTTTTACTCCAAAAGTTTATTGTTTTTTCGAAGGATTTTGACATCGCCGGTGACTATGGTCTCATGTTGGCGGATTCCGAATGTTTAAGAATCATATATGAAGTGCTGACTGAACTGGACTTGGGCGATTTCGTGATTAAAGTGAATCACAGGCGTTTGTTAGACGGTCTCTTCACCGCTTGTGGAGTTCCTACAGAAAAATTCACCGCCGCTTGCTCGTCCGTGGACAAACTCGACAAGGTACTTTGCCGCGTTGTCGAATTTTTGTAGCCTTTTAATGCCTGCCTGCCCTGCCTGCTTACTTCAGTACTGCAGTCACTGACCTCTCTGCTCCTTCCCTCCACAGCTGCCGTGGGAAGAAGTGAAGAAGGAACTCATAAATGAGAAGGGCTTACCGGAATCCGTTGTTGACTTGATTGGCGAATACACGCAAATTTCCGGCGGTATGGATGTCCTTGATCGATTGGCTGGCGATGAACGTCTTGTGGGCAACAAAACCATTCAAAATACTCTGCCAGAGTTACGGACTCTCCTCGATTACTGCCAAGCCTTGGGCATAATGGATCGTCTTCGCCTTGACCTCAGCCTTGCCAGAGGATTGGATTACTATACCGGTGTCATCTACGAAGCTGTTCTAACAGGTATGTTGCCACGTGATCCTGCTTATTCAAAGGCTGAAGACTTTCACTTACTTCAACTAACCATTACCCATGTTTTCTGCAAGGTTTCGCTCACAGCCCGGCCGTTACTACCATGTCTGTCCCTGCGCAATCTGCTGAACCACATGACGACAAAAAGAAGAAGAGAAAGAGACCTGTTGCAGATGAGGTTGAGGATGGAGGAGACGCTGAGGGTGCTGTCGGCAGCGTCGCTGGAGGTGGCCGTTACGACAACCTCGTCGACCTCTTTTGTCCTGGGTCGAAAGTGCCGTGCGTTGGTTTGAGTTTCGGGATAGAACGTTTGTTGGCTGTCAGTGAAATGCTTTCTAGGAGGAATGCCGCGGGCGACAAGAGTGTGCTTCGTGCAACAGAGACAGACGTCATGGTGATTGTTGCCCACAAGGGCCTCATAGTAGCACGTCTGGAACTCTGCCGACTTCTCTGGGATGCCAAAATCAAGGTATTTTTATGTTTTGTTGGCATCTACTATGCCCAACGAAGTAGCAATGATGTTAATGTTAGTTTGACTTGCGCGTAGCCCTCAGACGCATCCATTTTTTCAGGCCGCTTTCTCTCACAAGAACCAACCGAAACTACTCGATCAACTGCAGTATTGTGAGTCTACTGGGATCCCCATTGCTGTCATCATCGGCGATGGCGAGCTACAACGTGGCGTCGTCAAGCTACGTCATATCAGTTCCCGTAATGAGCGCGAAGTACCTCGGTCTGAGTTAACGGCGGAGATTAAGCGCGAACTCCAGGATCTCAGCGCATCCAAGGCCTGCTAGATTTGGTCTAATGTCATGTTCCCTCTTTCTGTCTTTCGCCTTAATCATGCTGCCGAAATTACCGTGTTCATCTGTTATCTACTCTTTGGGGCTGCCTACGACCAATGTTTTTGTCGACAGTTGTTTTGGACAATATTATTGGGTTCTTAGCCGCCTTTAAGTAAACTTCCTTTGGTATTTCTTCGTCAAGTTCTAGACTACGGTCGAGTCTTCAAGTTGGTTGCCTTTACAGTGTGGCTCCGGGGTAGCAAGCGCCTAGTCTACTTGGACAAATGCCTCATTTAATTGCTTTGGCAGTCTTACGCCGTCGCTGTCGAAACTAGAACAGAAATAACTACCTTTAAGGTGGACATCGTTACCCTTGCAGGAATGTTTCCTTGTGGTATGCTACCTCACCTTGAGAAGAGGTCGCATCAAGCCTCATCTTCACGAGGAGTGAGTAATTTAAGCTGAGTAGGCTCGGTGATGACTTATACGTGAATTTTTCTATTGCAGAGCAGACTCATTGCATCAGCTTTGCTTGCTACTCCCCTGCCAACTATGTTCCGACGCTGTCAACAGCGCCTTGCAATAACACCGCCGATAATATACATTTCAGCGCCCAACTCTGATATTTCGAAAACGTGTTTTGAGGGTCTGCACACCTGAAGGCGCGAGGCCGTATAAAGCATTCCGACAGGCGTTTGCTGGGTACGTCAAGGTCATTTTTGCGGCCGCGGCCATGGGTTGCAAACCCACCCAGATCCTGGGTTCGGGACTGGATGACTTGAGTTCTCGGGCCGAACAGACTGACCTGTGCTCCTCGAAACGATGGACTTACACCATGAAGCTGCACACAGTGCGTACTGTCGCTTCCATGTGTACTGGAGTAAAAGGATCAGAGATCAAGAATTCTGTTTTGCAAGCGAAGATACTAGACAGCAACCTGAGATTCTAGCTATGAGAGTGCTTTGCGAGGATCAGTGGAATCGTTTTGGCCGGCACTGTGGTTAAGGGTCTCATAGCCACCGCTAGATAGTTTCTGTTTATGTCGTGACATGTGGGCGAGGGCTTGATATTGATTTTCGATCGCACTTTCTGTGCGAGCGGGCACTCGTCTCGCCGAACCCGACCCTAGCACTGCCACGAGTTTCGTAGGGTTCGCAGTTGCAATTGATTCAGCCGAACTTAATTCTCCGTAGTCGATCTTATCGCCTGGTGGAGTATTACCGAGACTAATACCGCG